GCCCTAGGACCCACATGGTGGAAGAGAGCCAGCTTCCACAAGTTTTCCTCTGACCACCATATGTGTGCATGCGAGCGTGTGTGCACGTGTGCACACACACACACACACACACACGCACACACAAATAGATGAATGTAACTGAAAAAGAGAACCTTGTAAACTGGTAGTTTTCTCCTTGTGGACAATTCTGAGGTCTTTCCCATGGTGCTCCACCGTGTCATATCCCACCCTGTGGATTGGGCTCTTTCCTGAACTCTGGCTTGTGGCCCAGGAGTCTCTTTGCCAGTAATGCTCCCATCCCAGCAGACACCTACCTGCTCTCTCTAGGCCAGCTACAATGCCCCAGCTCTTATTTCCTGGGCAATTTCCTAATCAGCTCAATTTCACAGCTAACTTTGGTGCATGGAACCATCTCCCAAAAGGTGAGGCATCTTGTCTGTTGTGCCCAACATGTACAGATACCAAGGAAGGGCAAGTCAGCAAATACTGAGTGGAAGGGGGTGTGGGGTGCCCTGGTAGTGACAGAGACCACAGCATGACTAATTCTGATCAAGAAATAGCTCCAGCTGGGCTTGGTGGCATATGCCCTTAATCTCAGCTCTCCTGATGTAAAGGTAGGTCAGCCTGGTCTACATGAGTAGAAAAAAAAAAAAATACATGAGTAGGAAAGCAAAAAATAAAAAAAGAAAAGACAAAGAGGAAATGACTCCAGTGGGGTGGCACACACCTGTCATCATCCCAGCATTTGGGAGACTGAGGCAGGAGGATCAGGAGTTTTGGTCATTCTTGGCTACTTACCAAGTCTAGGGACAGCTTGGAATATATGAGACTCCATCTCAAAATCGGAGAGAAGATGCGGGTGTCGTGGCCCATACCCTTAATCGCAGGCCAGCTGGGGCTACAGGAAGACCCTGTCTCAGAAACAAAAACAAAAACACACACACAGAGAAACAAAAATAAAACAAAAAAACCAAAGCCAAAACCAGAAACACATGCCTGCAAGAGAGAAAGAGAAAGGGGGAGGGGAGGCCACACCATTGAGGTCATCACAGAACCCGAGTGAGCTTGTCATGAAATGAAAAGAAAAAGGAAACTTGACTAACTCAACTCTTCTCAGGGAGACTGGGAAGGAGAACAGGAGAAGACCAATGTTTAATATGCAAATAATTTATTTGTTAATGGATGGACATGGAAGATCACACTCAAAGATTCTTTAAAATGTAGTTTCTATCGGGCATGGTGGTGCAAGCCTGTGGTCCCAGCACTTGGGAAGCAGAGGCAGGCGGATCTCCATGAGTTCAAGGCCAGCCTGGTCTACATAGTGAGTTCCAG